CCATAATTAATATACTTTTGTACTTTTCGTAACCTTATAGGATGTATTTATAAATATAAAATAATGATATAAATAAAAAGTGCCAAATTTGTCGAAAACAATAAAGGATTAAAAGTATTCTCCCATTGACTTTACTTCTCATTACTCTTTATTACTGAGAGCAAAATTTTTCAAAACGAAACTGACAGCATTGCAATATTTGCAGACCGCCACCAATATCATGATTTCATCTCGGCCTTTTCCAATGGGTTATATTTTATTTAGGATGTATTTCGAAAATCCTCTGCCAACACCAACATTGACCCAATATTAGCCCTGCACATAGGATGTAATATACGGATCTTTCTATATTGCCGAGCTGAGTCGATATAAGTATGTATGTCCTTCCGTCTTTCCACTTTAATTTGTAATCAGACAACAGGTTGCACGTGGAGTTGGTATAAAGGTCAGAAGAAGCCTGTTTTGGAGATGTTCGGTATAGCCGCCATATACCTCCCCATATTCGATATTTTACTGTTTGCATTGAATTTCCAATCAAACGTGCTTTAAAAGTCTGCCCTACAATTCTTTTGGAAAATCGATCTACAAACCGAGTACACATCGAATTTTCTATTACCACGACTGGCTATTGGACTCTGGAATTATAAGAAAACTTGCAGCGAATTAAAAAAGAAAAAAACTATCGAAACTGAAATTGGGTTTCTTATAAACAAACGTTCATTATATTGTTTTATAGAACAGTGTTGGCATGTTCTGTCGGGATAATAGTATCTTGCTGCTGGAAAATTGTCAGGCTTAATCACAATATTGTTGTTTTATAAAACCAACTTTAGTTTATTAGTGGAGAACGATGGTAATGTTTACCAGGGGGTAAGGCAGGGAATGCCCTTGTTGGAAATTTGTGCATAAACTCACACTTTAACCCTTAGATGTCTCTTAAAATATATATGGATTTCAGTCGTATAAAATCTATAGTAGAATTTTTCTGAGAAATAATTTTAACTTCCAGTTTAAAGGGAATCCGGTTTAAAGGCAATTATTAACTAAATTCTAAGAAAAGGTCATTTTATCCGCAATATTACCAAAGACACCATGTAACGGATTTACTATGCAATCTAAACTTTCGAAACGCCGATACACATGTATCCTATGCTTAGCTCTACTTTCATCATCTTCTGGATTTTTCCTGTAATTATTAAAATTATAGACATATTTTTATACCCTACAACACTTTGTGTTGGGGGTATTATAAGTTTGATTGGGCCAAAGATTATGTAACACCTCGAAATATTGGTTTCCCACATAGGAAAGTATATATGGATCTTCCTAGCTCGCCGAGCTGAGTCGATCTAGCTATGTATGTCCGTCCGTCCGACTGTCCATGTTAATTTGTAATCACTCTACAGGTCGCAATTATGGCCCTTCACGAAGTTTAGAATGGGGGTGGGGCTAAGGCCAGAATAGAACCCTATTGCTTTTGGAGTTGATCGCATAATATTTAGGGATTGAAATGGACCAAAAACTGAAAAAATTCTTAATTTTGCAGTTGCTCTACAGGTCGCAGTTATTGACCAATCGACGCGGAAGTTAGCATGGGACTAGAGCTTAGAGCTGGGAAGAAGCCTTCCAATTTTGATGGTCATCGGATAATATTTAGTGGGTAAAATAGACCATAACATTTGTGTTAAACAAAAGTCAAATTTTCCATTAAACCGTGAATATTTTAAATCCCGGCGAAATCACAAACAGACGAACAGGTCGATTCTGACCGTTACGTAGATGTCGATAGTAAATATATCGGATATATATAGCGAAATATATACAATTTGTACAAAGGAAGGGGATTTTAGGTAGAATGCTTATATCTCAAGAATGGCTGAGCCGATTTTGACAAATTTTGTCAATTCAGAATGCCTTCTTGGCATAAAGTACAAAATGTAAAAAAAATCGCATAAAAAGATGCCAATAAGGATACTAATATGGATTTTGAAGTATTTGGTTACATTTTTTTATTTATTTTTTTTTTTTTTTCATTTTTTTATCGCATGCGATTTTTTCAATTTGACAATATTTTGTAATATTTTTTCACCTTACAACACAGGTTAGGGTTATTATATACAGATTGCAATTATCGCCTGATCCTCACAAGGGTAGGGTTAGGCTCAGAAGGACTAAGACTATTATTTTCAAAGATGTCCACAATATATTTAGAAATGGAACAACAACTACAATTGTTCCTGAAGGTCACAAATAGTAACCAAAGGACATGCAATCTCGCATGAAATTAGAGTTTAGGACAGCGGGTAGAATGGACCACTACTTTTATGTGAAAAAAAATACCTACATTACTTACAGGCGATATCCGAAAAACACAAAATGCGAACTTCTGGCTTTTTATGCTGATTTCGTTGACGAATATAGCCAAATATCATAGGCAAGCAAATCATATAGATGAGTCTAAACTTTGAGAAACAGAGGGGCCTCTTGCTTTTGGAGACGATAGCAAAATAATTAGGGGTTCAAATGAATTGAAATTGAAACCAATCGACACGGCATTTTGCATGAGAAGAGAGGACAATGAAGAAGTCTAGCGTTTTGGATGACCATTGGATTATATTTAGCTGTAAAATGAACCACAACAACTAACAGCACGACGGAGTGCGTAAATATTGGGTAAATGTCCTTGGTTAAAATGCTAAGTGTAATATCTGGGCAGTGATCTATAACATAATTTCAAAAGCGAAATCTTCTGAAAGGGATTTGGACATAAGGACATTACATACATTTGGACATATTGTAGTGTTGTAGGGTATCACATGGTCGGCCCCGCACGACTATAGGCTTTGCTTACTTGTTTTTAAACTGTAATTTTCTAAAGGTTGGATGATATTAAAAGTTCGATGCAGCCGAACTTTGCTGATGTTTTACTATTTACTTCTTATACAATTTCGTTGACCTCGTGCAAGTTTTGGTACTTATTTCCGGATCAAATGTTCCCTAAATATTTTTCACACAAAATAGGCTCAGTCCTTTTGATCCGATGCAAATTGTGACAAATATTGAGTTTTTACTACTTCTAATTCAAATAGTTTCTTTGAAAATATCATGTTATACATGGACCACTCACTCCGTGCTACAGTATATAAATCTTGTATTCCAATATATCCAATAAATTTCCACTACGTTGTTTTACAAATTCCAAAAATGACAATCCTTTTACCATTAAAATTTCACAACAAAATTCCAAAAAAAAAAAAAATTTCTATTAACATAATTTATAATCATTTTCTTTTTTTCCCTTTCGTTACAGATTTGAACTGAAAATTGATGCACAACGAAAAAATACTAATTATTTACCATACCAAAAAAATCGGAACAAATTTTTGAAAGGTGACAACGACATTTCTCGAACACCTTCAGCCAAGCAAGGAAAGCCAGAATACAAAAAGAGTGGGGAAAGAGTGAGAAAAAACGGGCTATAAATTTATCAGCACCAAACATCAAAAGAATGCCAAAAATAGAGTTACATTTGAGATGAAGAGTGCCATTTAAGAAAGATTGATAGATTCTCGAAAACGGAGACGAAGAAAAAGTTCTTAATTAATAACAACATTTTTGGAAAAAGGGAGGCCAACAACAACAACCATCAAAACAAAACATTAAAAAGAAATCTGGTGACAATTTCTGGTGATCATTAGAGGGAAGACAGAGTTGGGAGTTTCCCCCCCCCAAAACGATAATAGGGAACGGCAGCAGCATCGTCATCATCATTACTTTTGACAATATTACAAAAACAAACACCAACAACAACTGAGCTATATTAACATCAAAACATCATTTGTGGTGGTTTTTGTTGTCATATCAATATTCCATCTATCATTCGAAGACATAGCCCAACCAGCCAGGGAGTCATTCATTTCCAATCTACTTCATTGATCTGTTTGCCTACCTTTCGCGTTAAGACTGAGGCACGGAAAGAGGAGTTTATCTATAATCAAGGGGCGGATGTAAATGGAAGCATATCAAGACGAAGAAAAAGGCGGCAAATGACATAGAAACATTTATGCTTTTTAATGATACTCGAGGAGCGGGTGCCGAACCAACAAAAACATCAATCGCTGCTGCTAGAATATTTAAATATAGATGAGAGGGAACGAACACATGTTGCCAAAGATCACAGCATAGAGGCAGCAGCAGCATCAGCATCCTAAATAACAACAACAACAAAGACATCTCCAACTGAAGCAACAGATCGCATCATAAATTTTGAGCAACTGCCAGAAGACGAAAGCAACAGAAAACGATTCTTTGGAGTGTGTCTTGATTTCTTTCGTTTCTTGCCTTTTGCTAAAGTGGATTTCCGGTGCATTACCCATTGGAAAAGAATAACACCACTACGATCTCCAACACCACCACCAAAGGAGCTAGCCAGGCGGTGAATGATCTCGCGAACAAGGGATCATTAAATGACAAGAAAACATACTTGCAACATATGTGGCATATGACGGAGCCCTCGTACACCCACACCAGCAACAACGCCACAAGAAACAAAACGACAAACAACAACAACAAACCACACAGTTGTCATTTGGAACAAAGGAGAAGGAGGCAGGGAGAGTCCAGCAGAAGTAACAACACAAAAAAAAACCACTTCAAATTAGAGTGAAATTTTGAAGAACAATAAGAACGCAGATCAAGCTGGAAAAGAAGAGGAGGAATAAGACTTCAAGTGGAATTTTTCATAAGGCAACAACAACAAAAGCAAAATATATTGAGGACTAGCATAAAGGACCTAGCAGTTGCAGGCAACCAAGAAAAAGGTTATTTTCCTATCGTAAAGAGCTAAGAGAGAGAAAGAGAACCTTGCGAACCTATTTTTGCAAGGAAATAGAAAATATAAAAAAGGTAAAATTTTCCCCTCGTACATGTCTCAGAGTAAGACGTAGTCTCTGCAAATCTCATTTTGCTCTGCAAACCTATTTTGCCGAGGAAATAAAAACAGATAAAAAGGCAAAATTTTCCTCTCAAAAAAGTCTCAGAACAAGAAGTATTCTCTGCAAATCTCAATTGTCTGTGAGAGAGAGCAAACATAAAGAAACACATTTGTTCTCCCAAAAGCCGCAAAGCGAGAGGAATTCTCTGAGAAATTAATTCGCCGAAAATAAAGCTAAAAAAGGAGCAAGGAGGTAAGGACAACTTAAGATACCAACAATAGAGGAAATATAGAAATAAAGGTCTAAGAGAGAGAGAGAGAGAGAGAGAGAGAGAGAAAGAGGAATTTTCTCATCGAATCTATTTTGCCAGGAAAGTAGAAACATAAAAAGGCAAAATTTCCTCCCATAAAAGTCTCAGATCAAGAGGTATTTTCTGCAAATCTCAATTGCCAGAGAGAGAGAAAGAGAGAATAAATAGAGCATAAATATTTTCTCTCAAAAGCTCCAAAACGAGAGGAATTATCTGAGAAATTAATTCACCAAAAGAAATAATTAAAACAATCAGAGCTCTAGGAAAAGGACAAACCGAGGTACCGAAAAATAGATAAATATAAAAGACCATAGAGTGATTGATGAAGAGACAAGAGAGAGAGAGAGAGAGAGAGCGCGAAGCATATCCTCATAAAAAACGATCAAACTAGCAACGATATTCAGAGTATTTCGCCCACAACCAGATAAGGATCTGTGCCTCTCAAACCCAAAAAGTGAAAATTGGATCCATCCGTGAAGAGAGTAAAAAAAGGATAGAGAAAAGGCGAAGGATAACTCTTATTCAGACTCACTTAAGGATATCTAAACATTGACTCTTTGATCGTGGCCAAAGCTGTCCTTAAATAATTGGTTTTTCTCTTTGAATTTCCTTGAATTCTTTTCTCGAATTTGCCGCACTGGTGTACGGAAAACCTTATTGGACAAATAAAAGAAAGTCAAAGAGTGCCAAAAAATCAGATAGTGAAAAAATATTAGTATTTGAATACCTGTCCTCTCTTCATGATAACCTCTTACTCTCTTTGAGTTTCTCACAGTGATTTACAAAAAAGTCCCGCTGTCAAAAAAAGAGAGAGAAATATAACTCACACCCACATTTATGGCGTCAATAAGGCCTAACAGTGCAAAATATTAATATACCAATACCTCTCATCTCCCTCTACTTAAGATCACTCAGATTCACTCTCAAAAAATTTCCACACAAAGAGAAATCTTTTCCCAGGCCAGAAAAGAGAGAGCTTAGATTTCCAGACAAGTAAACAAAAACACCCATTGTGTGTCCACCAAGGAAGCGAGCAGATCCTACCTGCCACACTCTCTCACAGAGTCTCTTACACTCACTCATTCTCTCCCTCACAAACACCACAGAGTTGCCTTGAGTGAAAAGTTAAAAATAAATCCAAAAAAATCACCTCCTGTGCCATTCAACTCCCTTGCGACCGACACACAATCAAACACTCTCTCGTCGCCCATCATGGCGTTAACAACAAAGTGTCACAGTGTCAAACAAACAACGAAAACGATGAAATTTTTCACTTCACAACGATGCCTGGTCTTTGGCATAGCACTGCTAGTGGGATTTCTGGCCCTGCACATACAATCGGTGGAGGCCATGGCCCGGCGAAACTATCAACCGGAACCCATTGACTACGATGACTATGGATATTCTTCGCCCAATATGGATATACAGAAACGCAGTGATTCGCTGCGTGATAACAAGGATAACAACGATGATGACGGTGGTGGCGGTGGCGGTGTTGCTTCTGCAGACGGGGAACGTGATGCTGTCAATGAGAATGGCGATTTTATGCCACGCTTTAAGAATCCCAAAAATCTTCGCAACATTTTCCCCAAACCCTCGGGTAGTTTTATACAACTCAGCTGTCCTGCCATTGGCCGACCGGAGCCCAACATCACCTGGTTATTGAATGGCACCAAAATAGCCCGCAATATGGGTCGTGTAAAGAAAACCAAATGGGCCATAAATATGGAAGATCTCGTGCCATCCGACTCGGGATTCTACACCTGCAAGGTCTGCAATCCCCTGGGTTGCATAAATCACACCACCAAACTGCACATCAGTGATCGTGTCAATCACAAGCCCATCATTTTAACCGCTCCCAAAAATCTCACGCTCTTCATCAATGAAAGTGGTGAAATGACTTGCAAATATCTCTCAGATCTGTTCAGTGTCAAGAGTTGGACATTTACACCCTGCAATGCCACGGCCTGTTCCCAGAATACCACGGTGGTGGATGGTGATGATGTTTTGAAATTTGAAAATGTCACTCAGGACCAGGAGGGTTGGTATACCTGTATGGAAATGAATGGTTTGGGTAAGTCGTGGAACAACGCCTATTTAAGGGTCTTGGATCCCACAGAAGCAATCGTCCCGAAAGTCATACGATCCCAGACACTGTGGGAGGTGGTGGTGGCCACTGTTATTCTGCTGATGTTACTCCTTCTGGCCATATTCATTTACTATGTCTGGCGTAAAATGAAACACGAAAAGCTGCTGAAACAACGCATTGAAACGGTGCATCAATGGACCAAGAAAGTTATTGTGCTAAAGCCGGCATCAGGTGATTCCTCCGGTTCCATGGATGCCATGATTATGCCGGTGGTGAAAATTGAAAAACAGCGCACCACAGTTCAACAAAGTTCCAACTCCGAACCGGCACCTTTTAATGAATATGAATTTCCCTTGGATTCCAATTGGGAAATACCCAGAAATACTCTCATATTGGGCGCCACCTTGGGTGAGGGTGCCTTTGGACGTGTCGTCATGGCTGAGGTGAATAATTCCATTGTGGCCGTGAAAATGGTTAAGGAAGGTCACACCGATGATGATATTGCCAGTTTGGTGCGCGAAATGGAGGTCATGAAAATCATTGGCAAACACATCAACATCATCAACCTGTTGGGTTGTTGTTCCCAAAATGGACCTCTCTATGTTATTGTGGAGTTTGCCCCACATGGCAATCTAAAGGATTTCCTTAATAAAAATCGCCCCATCAAGGATTATGACAAGGAGGGTAATCTCTCACCTCCCGAACACCATTTGACGGAGAAACATTTAATTTCGTTTGCCTTTCAAATTGCCCGTGGCATGGAGTACCTGGCCTCACGGCGTTGTATACACCGTGATTTGGCTGCCCGTAATGTGCTCGTCTCCGATGATTATGTTATGAAAATTGCCGATTTCGGTTTAGCCCGTGACATCCAAGACACAGACTACTATCGCAAAAACACCAATGGACGTTTGCCCATCAAATGGATGGCGCCCGAATCGCTGCAAGAGAAATTCTATGATTCGCAAAGTGATGTTTGGTCCTACGGCATTTTGTTGTGGGAAATTATGACATTTGGTGCCCAACCTTATCCCACAATTATGTCAGCCGAGGAACTGTATTCGTATTTAATGTCTGGCCAACGAATGGAGAAGCCAGCCAAATGTTCGCTCAACATTTACATGCTGATGCGCCAGTGTTGGCATTTCGATGGCAATGCCCGGCCAACATTTTCCGAAATTGTGGAGAATTTGGATAAGCTGCTGCTCAGCAATGAGGATTATTTGGATGTGGCAGTGGCGAATCTGGAGACACCGCCCTCATCGAGCGATGAAGAGGAATCGGATGCAGAGTCTATGCGTTATCATTATAAATGAGAAGCGGTGTGAGAAGGGGAGTGACTTGATAGCTACTAGGCCTTACCATGCCAGGCAAAAAAGGGTGAGAATTTAGATTTTAAGAGAAAAGAAAAAGAAAGTAAATATTTGTTTTTTTTTTTATATATATATTATATACTTATGGTTGTTTTTTATATATATTATATATTATGTACAATGTAAATACTCATAATTGTTAAACATATATTTTTAATAATTAATTTATTTTTTAAGAATTTTTTATAATTTTAAAAAATTGATACCGAAAGCAATGAGCGATAGAGCTAAGGGAAGAAACAAACCAAAAAATTAAAAAAAATAATTTAAATAATTTTTCAAATCAATTTTTAACGTATCGAATTTGAATCAAATATCATGGCAAAAAAATCCACCTTCAAAAATATAATTTAAAATTTTTTTATAAATATCTAGAACTAGACTTCTTACAAAATTTCCCTTAATGTATCTTGCCTCTCAGCAAAACTACTATGTATATATGTAATATTTTTTAACTGATTATATATCTACAATTGTAAATTCCATTTTATAGAAGCATAGGTCAAAAAAATGAGGACAAACACACAATTAGTTTATCTAATTGGGCGCCATATTCTGAGAATGGCATACATATCCTAATATGTGCACATTATTTTGTTTGGGCGCCATTTCAAAACAAAAATAATAAGAATTGTAACGTTTCTTTGCAAAATCTTCAAACATCAACTTTTCCATATTTGCCAGTTTGAAAACCAGAGCCGGTTTAGTCGGAAACCGGTTGAAAATGACTTTCTTTGACATCATGCCTCTACATACCTACCAATTTTTTTATTTTATTTATTTATTTTTTATTTATTTTTTATTTTTTTTATTATTTTTTTTTTTTTTGATTCAGAACAAAGCTTTCCCCTTGTCGACCTATGTCACTCATCATTATTTTTCTTAAATTTATTTTATATTTTTTTATGAACTGTATCTATACCAAAAAAAAAAGGAAGAAAATACCAAAATTTCAACAGCTAAACAATCCAAAGATTAGTGTTTTTAAGTATAATAGCCATCAATATAACTATTGAAAATCTGAAAAAGTCTGTACATGAATATTACTACTCAATATTTCCAAAGTTAAGAAAACCAAAAATATTATAAACAATTTCATATGCTAAGCCTATATTTATGATGTATTATAATAATTTAATTTTAATTTAATTTACTTTTTATAGTATTAAAAAATAGTTTTAAGCCTTTTTGTTGTAAGACCATAAAGTTATAAATAAACTACTTTTATATGTCTCGTATATAAATCAATGTAATGGAAATGACTTTGAAATATTGCAAAATTTGAGATTTGTGGATTTATTTGAGCTGCATATAATCATACTTTAGGGCCTAATTGGATAATGGGTGTTATGTTTTACTTGTGCTTATATCCATTCTGGACGATCTGAATAAAACCTGTAAAGAATAAAGAGTCCACATTTGTTTTTGGCATTTAGAATATGGGGAGAGAGTTCAGCCACTTGGGTGTCATAAGGTCTGAATAAAATATAAGGATTTGTGCCCATATTTAAATAAATACACTTGTCCTTGAATTTCGGTCGGGATTTAAAATTTTTCATCCTTGGTCGTGTTCAGAACAGACGCTGCCGTAATCATCCTTGGATGAGAGTTTAAGAAGATTAGAATATCTTCTTTCATTTTGGGTCTTATTACTGTGATTTGGGTTATTGGTCGTTATGCCATATTGATATGCTGAGATATTGAAAAATGCGTTCCAAACCTATTGTTGTTGCCTCAAAGAAGTTTCAGGCGACCAAAAAACTAGTTTCCACCTCTTCGTATTTGCAACTGCGGCCGTTATCATTGTATGGGACAGTCAGTCGATCCTGAGAAACATTTTGTCAAAACGTTTACGTTTGTTTGATAGGTATATCTTGATATGCGACATGTTTTTTTTCTATCCATTGCATGTAAAGGAAATGACATACGAACTGACAGCTTCCGGATTTCGTTAGAAGAAGATGCATGTCTTCCAACTTTGTCTTTTTTCCGACAAGACTTTTATGGTCGAGTATTCATGTGAGAACTACTGTTCTTTTAACTATCCATATTTCTAACCATCCTTTCCAATGCTAAGATATCCGCATAGATTTCGAAAAATATTTGGATAGAGTTAGATTTCCATAATGTTGAAGTAAAACGGCCTTACAACCTATAGCAGCTTAAAATTTACAGCTGTGTTACAAGGTACTATGCCTTTGCGCAATTTTTACTCCTTCAGCTATAGAGGGTATATATGGCTATAGAGGGTATATATCGTTGATTGATGATACGGTCTTTCTAGGTCTATTTGGACAAAATCCGTTTCAGGACACTTGGAGTCGATCTAAGCATGAAAACTCTCGAAGGGAGTATCTGATTTGTCCAAATTTGAATCATCGTAATGTTATTATCAAACTTAGTTCGAATTCAGAGATGGGCAATATCGGTCCAGTCCTTCCTCTAACTTTTCCAAAAAAGTTCAAATTTTTCACAGAAAATAATTTACCGTATAGAACAAGAAAGGATCACCCAATCTTGTGTAAACTTTGCAAATCATTATATTTAAATATGTCTTAGGTCAGGTGCGAAAATGGGCAATCTCGGCCTATTCCATCAAGTACCTCCTCCAAGAAATTCTTATAAAATGTGAAATAAGAGTCCGATTATCTTCATATTTAGCACTTCCCAATTTTTTTACTAAAGCAAGATCTGGGGTAAAGATGGAATATATCGGACGACTCCTTCTAGTAGCACCCCCACAACGGGTAACAATTTTGAATAACCATGAAGCTCATAAAACATGAAATGTGCATCCGATTTCTTTCAAGCTAGGCGCTTTCGTCTTGCTTAAAATGTATTGCGCATAAATATGTAAGACGGGACGAAACAAGCTATATTTTAGCTCAAGGTGAGGTACTTGATGGAGTACGCCGAGATTGTCCATTTTCGCACCTGACTTAAAACAGATTAGTATAGGTCAACAAATGAGGACAATATATCAATGAGTTTATCTAATTGGGCGCCATATTCTCAAAAAAAAAACATACATTTCTCAATTCTTGCACATTATTTTGTTGGTCGCGATTTTCTGATGTTATTTATGGCTGAACATGTGGATTTTCTGATCTAAATTTTGTAAAAAAAATTGTTAATAGCACAACAAAAGAGGAGAAGTAGTCAATCAGTACATCTAATTGGGCGCCATATTTTCAAAATTGCAAATCTCATTTTGTTGGGCGCCAGATTGTTTCATCATATATGGCTAGAATTTTGTAAAAAATCATAACGAAAATGATGAGAACAAATCTGTTCACCAAGTTGGGCGCTAAATACCAAGAATTTCGCAATACCTGCACCCCTTTTTGCATTATTTTATTGGGCGCCATATAAATACTTGATTTAAAGGTGTAACAAAAGTTTGTAGATATTTTAATATGTACACTCTTTTCAAACCTCATTTTGTTGGGCGCCAATAGTTATATTTTATATTAGTAGAATTTTGTAAAAAAAAATCTAATAGGACGAGATATGTGGAAAAAAATCAGTTCACCAAATTGGGCGCCACATTATGAGAATAGCACACATAGCCTTATATTTGCAAATCAAACATTATGTTATTGGGCGCCATATATATGGGCAGAGTTTTGAAATTGAAATTGGATAAAATGTGAGGGGAAATAATTAGTTCAACAAATTGGGGCCATGTTCTAAGAATCCCCCAATATCTGCATAATTTTAGCATTATTTTATTGGGCGCGTTATAAAAAACTATAGATTTGGTCTGGGAAAAAATTATACTCAGGAGGTTTCTTCTTATGAGGGTCATCTCCTGTGAGTGGAGTTTCAAACACTCCCAGATCCCAGACCCAAGTTAAAACAACTCATTTTTGTAAAAATTGAAATTCAATTTTTTCCAAATTCTTCCAATAGCCTTATTTGTTAATCTCATATTTCTCTTGGAGTGGAAGTTGCTAAGAGGATAAGACTGATAATTACTCCACAACGGCAAAACGGCAACGTAAGAAATTTCAGTTCAGCCTTATAATAGACTCATGCTCATGTTTGAAATTAGTGAAGGACAAAGTAGGAGTGATGGGCAGATATTGTCTATCTTTGAACTTAATGACTGTCAGGATTATCGTATTGTTTATTTCAATTCACAAACGGTGAATTCTTATTGCGTTTAAGAATACATTCATTAGTGGAGCGTTGCTTAATGTTATATCATTTATTTTTTTGCAAATAAGATACTTGATGATATAAGGAACTATTTAAAAAATACTTCATCTAATTATAGACTTTTAGGTACAGGGAAGACATATCTGCAGTAAATCCCAATTTTTTAAGAGTACATATTTCAAAGTTTTTTTCTCTTGCACACAAGAAATACTTGACTTTTAACTTGTCTTCGAATTTATGAACGCCAACGAATATACAAACATATCAATGATTAGACTTAAGTTAAACATTCTAATGTTTTTTTGTTATATGCTAAAATAATTTATATATATTTTTATTATAAGTTCTAATTTTTATATTTAAATGCTATCGTTAATTACAAGGCTATTTTTAATGAGGTCTTTCGCAAGAAATATGAATTTAATAAGTATTATAACAATTAAAAACTATATATTTTAGGAGTTCGATAAATATAAGTGCCTTATATTGTTAAGTGATAAAACAATGAGATTAAAAACAAAAACTATTTTTTAAAAAATATATTATTCGATATTTAAAAAATAATATTTTTAAAAGAAAAAATATAAATTATTAAATACAAACTAAAAAAAATAAAATAAAAATTCAAACCCAATGTGTATAATTTGAAAGGAATAAGAATGGTAAGCAAAATTTGTGTAGCGTTGGAAATGTTAGAATTCACGATAAACGATTTAAAGGCCAATTGATTAGTATCAGGTCCAGGATGTTTACAAAATATATCTTGCTTGCCGAAAGTTAAGCTTCAATTTTTTTTAGTGCTCAGAATGTACAATTTTTTCAGCATGAATATTTCCTTTTTCGAAAAGAATAATGGAACACTGCTTACCATTTACACCAAAAAGTCTTCAACA